GGGGGAAAGAAGTGTGTCTGGCTTGCTGTCCTTCAACAATGCAGCTGCCACCCAATCTGTCCTCCTGTGACGGGAGTATTGTTCTCTCAGCCTGAGCAGCGTGCACAGACGGAGGCTGGTTTTTTAAAAATCTGTTCACCTCAACAAACACACACACCCACACACACACACACACACACACGGCGCTTGGTAATGCAGCAGTCACACCGAGGTTGCCAAAAGGAATCTTTGAGGAGTCAGCAGAAATATGACAGTGACACAGCAATTGTAAATCACCCAGTCAGAAGCATTCCAATGACTGTATGTGTGAGTCTGAACAGTCACTGTGGCTTTTACTGTCCCACTGTGACTGTGAGTTTTCGAAAAATTATGTGATACAAACAACATGTTTGTATGTGTGTATTAATAGTTTTAAGCAGACCACCTCCCTCCAAACATTATGCTATGGTGAAAGAAGCCCACATAAATCAAATATGGAAAGGAACAAATTCTTATAATACAACACTGAAATAGAATAATTTTAGTATATGTTTTTTTAATGCTAAACTAACACTGTACTGACATTATTCTTAAGATTAATCTTTATGAAATAAACTATGGTCTATCCATAAGAAACTCTATAACAGTATTGGATCAGAAAAATGGATGAGTCTTTGTTTAGACCTGGACTGAGCTGCAGAGTAAAACTATTCAGATTGCTGTATATATGCAGTAATATACAGCTGCCCAAGAAGAGTTCACATACTTATTAAGGTATTTTTATAAATATGAGTTTGGATAGATTCTGCTATGACAAGATGTCAAAATGATTGCTTATTCCTATATAAAATACCATAAATAGACAGAACAAGCCCCCGGTCCCTGATTAATGGTGTTCTCTGCACATCTAAACTACAAATCAATATTGACGTCATGTTTTTTGTGTTTTTTTCTGTATAAATTAATTTTCAGTTATAAACATAATACAGTAAGTTGCACTGGCACTTTTCAAAATATTCTTTCAGTTCCCTTGGTTGATCTTCAGACATTGAGAAATGCTTCTCAATTGGGAAACTTCCTAGTAAAAATTGAATTGTATAACTTGCCAGGGATTCAAATCCAAGTCTGTATGAACATATTGTATGGAAAGAATAACTCATCTACCAAATCATTTCTCTAGGTGTGTTTGTGTTTAGTGGGAGGAGGGGGCTGAGTCCTTCCATAGTGAACAGATGCTGCAGCCTCCAACTCAGTGACCCAGCCTGCCTGCACTGCCTCTGCACTGTGTGTATCTCTGTATTTGTCATGATCCAGGGTTAGCCCCCTTGGGGCTGTATGTAGGGATGAGCTCCCCCGAGGCCAGACCCTGACCAGTCCCTCAGGGCTGCCGCATGGCTGCCATTTGCTGGCTGAGCCCGGCACTGAGCCGGTCTGACACACCAGTGACCGGCTGGGATGGGGACAAAGGGGGTGTAGAGGGTGGGGGTGGGGGTATATATGGGCAACTGGGGCAACAGATGCCTGCTGAAGCCACAGGGGACCTCCCTGAAAGAATCCTCCTCCACCCTCCCCTACTTCTCTCCTGCAACTGGTGGTGTCCAGATTCATCCTCAGTGATACATATCACCACTGTCTGTCATGTGACCTTTTTGGTAGGGGTTGTGGGTAGCACTCACTGTCACCTCTGAGTTGTACAGACTCTCAGTTGGTTATGTCTGGTTCTGCCTCCCTGTTGGTAACTAAACCTACATGTCACAGGCCATCATATGTATAGGGGTGAGAACAGGATCATTGATCATCATTGGTTCCTCTCTCATCATTATATACAGAATTCTGAATGAATTGAAATGAATTAAACTAGAGTGAAATTAAACTATTCCTTATGCTGAAGGGGAAACCCCAAAGAAGCCCTGGCTGAAAAACACAGAAAACCTCTCAATCTGTCCCAATTTCACTTGTGAACACTCTTTATACTGTATATGCACTAAAACCTTCCAGTTAACAATATATTCCTAAAAACCACACTCATGGCAACCCATCCAATATGTGTTGGGATATTTCATTCTGAACCAAAATAGTGGACTGACTTAGATGCTAGTGTGGCTAAAAAAGCCCATTATTATATTAGGCACTGTCATCATTTTAGCGATTTGTTAGTAAGCTATTTGCAACTTTCAACTTATAAGATTTGAGCTAGAGACAAAAGAACACAATCATCACAACAACTAACTTTACTTCTTGAGGTGCAGCATTACATCACATTTGAGGATTCTGGTCACATCTGAACATATTGGCAGTTACTGCTCTTAAACTCATCACTGTGAGTTGAGTAACAATATATTCTTGGGGAGTATGGTCACAGAGATTTCATGATGAACGATTATGTATAATGACGATCAAAAGCCATGACAAAGCATGACAACAATGTTTTCACACATTCTTTAACATGCAAAAACAGAAGAAAACAAAAACACTTACCACACAGCTCCAGGAGAAACAGCAAGGCTGCAAAACAGAAAATGCAACTCCTACAATCTTCAATCAATCTTCTCTCCTGATATGCTACCTTTGGTCATTTCAGTAGCAAAGCACAAAGTCAAAAAAACTTCAGGGGGAATTTCCCAATAATGGTGGTGGTAAAATAAGCCCAGATGTACAACAAAATTCCCTTTTAAAGCAAGAAAAAAAATAACAATTCAAACTTCAGTATCCACTGGCGAAAGTAAAGCTGTCAATCCAATTGGAGCTGAGCAAAACTGGTTTCCTGGTCGAGTTTAGCAGCAATCCTAAGAGATCAGCCTTTAAGTTCTCCTTTTTGGTTGAGAAGCAGAGTGCAGTGGCCTGAAGCTGCAGGTTCAGCTGTGTGACTGACAACAGATGGAGTGTAAGCATCTACCATCCCCTCCTCACACGTAGTCTGCCTACTGACCAATACCAACGCAGAAATCTGATCACAAACACACACGTCTCACTTTCCTGTCTTCACCAAAGCTTATTCTGTACACACACACAAATCACCCACCTCTCCACCAATAAAAAGGGACACTAAGATAAGCTAGGATATCTCCACCCCCTTTATCCCCCCACCCAACCCCTCACATACACACACACCCCACCACCAGCCCATCCGCCGGCTCGAGCCATGAATGGACGAGAAGGCGTGAGTTGACAATGGTGGGGAGGGGGACACAAAGGAGGGCCCTCGGCGGGCAGCTGCACACACACACAACATGCTCAGGGCCATCACAAGCGTGTGCACACACACACAC